CGTTCTATCTCATACTACTTGTAAAAAGCGAGTAGCCATGTATGCTTACTCTTTTCGACTAACTGGCGGCTGCTTCCTTTTCGCCTGCAAGTATGTGAACGACGTCTTTGAATTCCTCTTCCATGTCGACACATTCCCTAGCTACTTTGCTACCAGTAGGGGGCGTAAAGGCGTTCGCATACCTTCCGCTTAATAAAACTGAGCAGAAGCAGACTGAACTGAGCAGACCCAAGTATTTCTCTCGCTAAAACAATATGAGTCGCTCCTACAACAAGTCACCCTCATAGAATAATCCTGCACCCCACCAAACGGGGATCAGCTTGCGGTGTAAATCACCTAAAAACACAATTAATTAGAGGGAGGTCAGTGGGAAGTATACAGGTCCCAGCGACCATCCGTTGACATGTATATGTGAAAAAGGTAGGGTGATATAATAAGAACAGGCGGAGAGTAAACAGAGGAAAATGTTCCCGAAGTGAAAAGGAAGTTGGCTTGTAGGAAAAAAAACTAGCGAACGTGCGAATAAAGAGTACACGGAGAGTTTCGTTTAGCAAGTGGGGCCGAAAAATGTACAAAGACGGTTTTTGCTGTGAGTTCATCCCTCACGGTCATTTGAATACCTCTGAAAAAGGCAAAAAAGCACTAATGAGGGGAGAAACTGAGGCCACTGATGTTCAAAAAGTACATGCATCTAGGCCTTTACACTAATCGGCGAAACTTCGAGAGGGTCAACAGTTCAACGCTATCACGGGACTTTTAAATTTAGCCAAGTCAAATATTGTATAGAGAAAGTAATTGCTGTCTGTAATTGCGCATCCATAATTTTTTCCATTCTAAATGGTCGATCGTCCCAACCATATAACTAGAACTACATTGATTAAAAGTCATATTTTTCGTTGCTAAACCGTTGGACCGCGAGAGGATTAAGGACTATGTGTAACGAGTTGCTTTAACATCTCAAGTGCTCAAAAGGCATTTTACGCCATTGAATGACAGAAAGGGACAATATTCAAAGCGCCCCGCAAACACATCTTAAGATAGTATAGGTGACAAGTGATCTGTGTGAATATTTTGTTAGCTTCAGAAGAGGGACTACAGGTTCAATATTCTTGCTAATTGAGTCAACCAGAAGGCAACAACATGGGTTAGACAAACACTGTATAGCCCATTTTTCGTAGTGAATACAGCACTACAGATCACGGATAAAATAAAGATGGTATTATGACACACGTAAATTCAACAATCACAGCGGTATCTACCCTCGGCTATGAGATGGTGTTAAGAAGGGTATTGAAAACACTTTATATTTCTGGCCTGTCATTAGCCAAAGCCCAGTAGGAAGGGGCTTTAAGACAACAAAAGACAATAAGAAATTTAAATTTCGTTACTTAGCTATCCTTCTATCGGATTGATTGATTGTGAGAGAATCAGCAATGTCGACGGCATCACCAACAGTGGTCAACAGACGCGCTGGACTACGTTATATATGCGTGAATCGGTTACCACTCACTGTGAGTTAGCCGGTTCGAGTCAATTACATTAAGAATCCGAAAGGCCATGTACCGCAATCGCTGGCTAAGCAGCGAAACTGTTTGAAGCCCTACAGTC